ATCTATCTATCTATCTATCTATCTATCTATCTATCTATCTATCTATCCTGATTTATTTTTCCAACACAGATTAACAGTGATTAATCACTGGAAGTTTTAAAGAAAAGACTGGACAGCCACTTGTCTCTATAGGGTACCCTGCTTGTGCAGTGGATTGGACTAGATGACCTCCAAGTTCCCTTTCCACTCTTATAAGAATAGAGCTGGAGGGGACTATGGAGATCATCTAGTCTCCTACAATGCTAACTTTTTAGTGTTTTTCTCAAATGAGCACTCAGTAACTGGACCACAGTACAGCCCAAATTGGGATTTTTCTGCTTTCGAGGTAAGAAAAAGCCCTGCAAAATCCTAAATTTTGGGCAAAAGTCAAAAAAGCAATTTTGACGTTTCTAGGGCAAAACTCTTCTAAATCGTGCATCAATAACTTCTTTTATTTTTGTATCTTTTATTGATGTAACCTACAGTGTGTTGCAATGAACAGAAGGGTTCGCATTAATAAATATAAATATATTTTTTTCCACATAAATAAGCATGGAAAAGTGAGTTCGGTTTTAACCCGGAAGAGTTGGGCTAAAAGCAGGCTAATTTATGGACGCTGCCGCCTTACAAGAATTTCGTTTCTTTTTCTACCTCTATGGAGAGGCGAAGACAATGAATGCTCTTCCTTCTCTGCCACGCAAGGGACGACCTTCGTATGCGATCCGGAAGTTTTACCGGATACAAATTTGATTGCTCCTTATCTCTATGATCGTGACGTCATTACACGGCTATCACATGATATATTCAAAGTTTCTAGCCGCTTCGACCTTTCAGGTTAAAAACCATAAAGTAGTAGAGCAAGAGCGGCCAATCATTTGGGGCGGAACTTTCGTGAAGGCGAACCAGCTTTTGGCCGTGGAGCGAAATGGAGGAAGAGGGAACGACGGGCGATGTGGACTCTCTGCCGCGCGGAGCTTTTCGGTGCCGTCTGTGTCACGTGACGGTTGCCAACAGTGAGTGGGGGGGTCAAGGGTCAAGTAGGGGCCTAAGGCCGTAAATTAAATAATTGTAAAATAAATCGAGATTTTAGGGCTGCTTTTTAGCACGTGGGGAGTTTTAACCTAATAAACACGGGGCAGGGTGCGGTTAAGGTTCAGATAATTTGGCAGTACTCTGCCCATGTTCAGAGGCACAAAAGGAAAGCCCGAGCTTTAGTTCTTCTGCAGCTTTCCTTTAAACGTGCTGATGTTTGCAACTTCTCTGTCTCCTTCCTTTGCAACGAAATAAGAATTTGTGGGGCAAAGGAGTCCCGCTACTGCAAATTTAATTAAGCATAAATTAAAGATAAATGGAGATTCCACCTACCCTCAAAAACCTTGCTGAAATTATGATGGTCGCTGCCCCAAGATGTGGCTATATGTCCAATATAACCACAATAATGAAAGGAACAATCATTTATGTATTAAATATATATTGCTCCACACCTCCCAGGGACTCAGAGGTGGTAAAATGTATTTATGGAATGTTATAGGTTGCCCATACGCTGTAATAAAAACAAATATAAAAGCAGTTATAAATACAAAAACAGTTAAAATTAACTCTTAATTTTAATTAACATTAATTCACAGTTAAATTTAACAGAAATCGATTTTGTCTGTAACATTGTATAAAACTATAAATGTGAATAACATGCATTTTTAATATATTTATAGAAACAGGGTTTGGGAACCAAGTCTTCCTGTCATCCATAAAGTGGGGGAAAATGGTCAGGAGTCTCTTCTTGGCTGCTTTTTCAGTTTCCTGGTTCAATTCCAGCCTTCAATCCTGTGATTTCTTGCTTCTCTCTCATAGCCTGGTCTGCTTTTGGGGTAGCTTTTTAAAAAACAACAACTAAGGCACCTAATGCTGCTTTGCAGCTCCAATAATTTTTTGGGGTCCTGCTTCTTTCCTGGCTTAAATTGACCTGGAGATGTAAAATATTATCTGAAATAGTTATCTGAACTGGGTGCACTGATGACGTTACCTACTATGGTAATGAAATGTCTGCAGAAAAAGCACCCATGCTCCGAGAGAACCAATCCTGAGCTACAAACATTCTTTTCTAAAGTAAATATAATATAAAATAGCTTAAGATGCAGTGAGCCAATGCAGAACCTCACCTGGCGCAGAGGTGTTTCTTTGTTAACTTTCTGAGAAGCATTAAAGGTTGAACAAAGTTGGAACGACTGTCTTTTGCTCAGGAAAACACGTTCCTTGTGGTTTTTTCAAAAGTCCTTCCTCAAAACATTTTTTATTTTTATATTTATTTATTGGTCAAGTATGTATTAGAGATAACAGATATAATTAGAACATGATTATGATTACATGAAATGGGTACAAATAAAAGGGGACATTAGGACAGGAACGATAGGGTAGGCACATTGGTGCACTTATGCACGCTCTTTACAGACCTCTTAGGAATGGGGTGAGGTCAACAGTAGACAGTCTAAGGTTAAAGTTTTGGGGGTTTGGGGAAGAAAACACATTCCAGGCATTGACCACTCTGTTGCTGAAGTTGTATTTCCTGCAATCGAGTTTGGAGTGGTTTATCTTGAGTTTGTATCTAATGTGTGCTCGTCTACTGGTGTGGATGAAGCTGAAACAGTCATTGACAGGTAGGACATTATAGCAGATAAATTTATGTACTGTGCTTAGGTTGGACCGAAGGTGGCGTAATTCTACGTTGTCTAAGCCCAATATTTCAAGTCTGGTGGCATAAGGTATCTCTTATGCACGGAGGAGTGGAGGACTCTTTTCATGAAAGATCTCTGGACTCTCTTGATAGTATTAATGTCTGATATGCAGTGCGGATTCCAGATAGATGAACTGCAATTG